CTTTCTCTAGGGATAAAGCAGATTGAGCAAAAAGCTGACCATTTAATGCACTTAGCCTTACATCTACTTCTCCATATGTTTTCACAGCATGGTGCAACTTCATCTTTCACCTTTATCAATTACAAAAACATCAACAATTTTGGTCCACTTGTTTTAAAGGGTTTAGGAGATAAACACAGACATTAAAATGTTATTGGGAGTGCAAACACAGACACACAAAAAGTGATAAAATAAACTTTACTTTTCTTCCAGAACAGGTTCCAATATGTTATCTTTAGAAAACGAAACTGCCAATTTATGACAAGAAATATGTAAAGTTTATCTGACTGAGTTAGAAGACTAGGTACATGACATGTGTATGGGACTGTCCAAGCAAGTGCAAGACAACTGGCAACTCTAACAAATGATGATGAATGATTACATGACATTAACTAAACCCTGGTACCAGCATGATGCATGGTGAGATCTAATGGTGTATCCTGAGAGTCAGTAACTTCCATGGGAAGTTCCAGTTGGCTATACTTAGAAGCAGCCATACCCAAACCAGAGTTTGATATTGAAGAACGGTTTATGACTTCATCTGTCATTTGCCGACCACAAGTCGACAGCTGCAGCAATGGATAATTCCATAATGATAGGCCAGAAGGCCAAGGTAATGACTGTGATAGTACTGTGAAGTCAGCATTGATCCAAGAACGAAACATATCGTAATGGGCACCATGTCCATTCCATAAAAGATTTGTCTCAGGATGTGGAGGCACTGACTCTCTTCCACTTTCTACACAGCATGACTTTGAGCATCGAAGTGGCGATCTTGCATTGGGAGGTGGAGAGCAGCATTCTTCATTTCCACACACTTTGGCTTCCCGATTTTCACATCCCAACTTCAGTGCATCACTACAGTCCCTCTTCAGAACTTCTGGCACAACCGCTATGGAAGTGTTAATTGGAACTTTAGATGCTGTTGTTCTTTTGGTACTACAAAGAAGAATTTCATCCTCACAACCCAATTTAATGTGGTTGTTTTCAGATCTGTTGATCACTTCATCATTGTCTGAAGGAACTGCTCCTGGTGGAAAGTGACGGTATGTCTTGACATGTTTGCGTAGTGAGCTTGGGTCAGTATACCGTTTTGGACAGCCTGGCACCTTGCAGACATAAGGCTTGTCGACTGAATGGGTTCGAGTGTGCTTGAAACGATCACTTGAGTTGGAATACGCCTTTCCACAGCCGGGAACTGGACATACATATGGCCTCTCACCTGCAACATTTCAGTTTCAAGTTATTCATCGAGTGTGTTTATTTGATTGATTACAATTGGCTGTAAGCATAAACAAGATCATGAGTTAATATGAATAAATTAAATTTCTTTGCTGAGCAAAGCCAATTTCTCTCTCAGAGATAAATCTCAAGCTGATGACCAATGGTTGTTGTAACATGCTGGTTCGTCAGACCTGTCATACCTGAGGGGTACTTCTATATGGATGTAATATTGGTGAAACAATGACTGACAAAAGAAATCCTAAGTATGTCTAATTTTCTTATAGCCATCAGCTAAAAACAATGGTTAAATTTTCTGTTATTGATTAAAATACATTTTCATATTCCTAACATGTTATTGAAGTTATTATGCCATCATCAGTAGATAAATGGATAATATGATTAAAAGACGATATTAACATTATAATACTGAATGGGTAAATTCTTTTCACTACATTACATTACAGACACAGAAGCTAAAGATGTAAGATTTTAGTTTTTCACAGCGGTGAGTATGAAGATTTCTGTCTTCTGGGTTGTTGCGCTGTGTAGTCTGGTCGATGTTAACCAACGTTTCAGAGGTCATACTGCCTCCGTCATCAGCACAACAACCCAGAAGACAGAAATCTTCGAAGCTAAATTTCTTTACAGAACATAAAATGAAGAATTCATAATTAAACATATAATAATTTTAACAATAAACAAAAGCAAAAGGAATATTATCTTAAGGACACATAATAATATGCAGATATTCAGAACAGAACATATAACATTCTACTGCCTAAAGCAGCCATAATACAAAATGTGTAAGCTTGTACTTGAATGAAAGTCTTCACTGTTATAAAAGTTGCTTCATAGCCACAGTAAAGTGCCCCAGGAACGCACTGGACAGGATGTTAAATAGGCCCCAAAAGATATTCTAGATGAAGTAAATAAGAGAAAACTGAGAGATTTCCTGCCAGGGTTAAACCCCAGACCACGGCCTATCACTAAGCTGTCATGGTTCGTGATATGAATAATCTGCAGCTGCATACCTGTGTGGGAGCGTGCGTGTATCTTTAGGTTTTCAGCCCGACTAAAGCTCTTGTCGCACTTGAAACAGTGGTGTGGCTTTTCATTGGTGTGTGTCCTAACATGAACCAGCATCTTATACCTGGAAAATGAAACTGAATTGTCATGAAACAGAATAGTTGCCTACAATGTAAATAATCAGAAAACTGTTCCTTTCAGATAAAACCCTCCATTCGTATAAATCATGTACTGGTCCAACGCCGGTCTGTACGTGACCTCTACAGTCTCAGAATATGTAAAATACTACCAAATTTCTCACAAAATTTGTGTTTTAGTTGTCGTTACTAGATGCAAAATAAACTTACGTAAATTAAATCAAAATAACATAACCTAACTTTTTTCACAATTCTGATTTGTTGGAGATATACAGAAGCATGTCCAATTAGCAAATACTTAATGTTTCTAATATCTATAAATATATGTTGGCAAATAGCTAATTATGTCAGAACATCAAATGAATAAAAGATACATGGGAACTGGTCAACACAGAGTAAAGACATACATTAAAGGTAATATATGAATGAAACAGTGTGACTCACCTGGCATTAAAACCCCTGTCTCCTCGACTGCAGCCTTCCCATCCGCAATAGAAGAGGCCTCCTTGTCCTGATGTAGCATGAACTCGGGTCACGTGTGAAGCCAGTAGCTCCAAGTGGCCAAACCAATGTCCACAGCCAACCCACCTGCAAAGAAAATATGGTGAATTAGGCAATTTTATGATGTCCAGTAATTAAGTTATTCTTTGGTATCAATTATTTAATTAGAACTACACAGTGACCAGTTACTTATGTACTGAGGTAGATTGGGCTCTTGGAATAGCTCTAGCAGAAAAGTCTCAGAGCACGAAACAACTCAAGATGCACCAATCTCGATGAAATTTTATATTGGAGAACATAAAAAATTGTAAAACCATTTACATTTCAACTGGAATCTAAATTTCAAAGACCACTTTGTTTAAAAACACAAGTTTTTTTTAGCTTATTTCAATTTGACTGCATATGGCATTCACCTTGGTTACCATTGTTTGCTTCGTTACCATGGTTTCCTAGACCCTGCCCATGTAAAGGTCATTGACTCTAGACAACTCTTACGTCATTGTACGCCGTTCACAAAAAAAACGAGGTTCAAATTCTGGAGAACACGCCAATATTGTTACGCTATGTTTACAATTCTTAACTCTCTTACAGAAATTTGCCAACACTCAAATATGACAATGTGGTGCAAACTTTTTATAAGTTTTTCACAAAACATCTAATATAAATATGAAATGCCTTCTGCTATTTTATTTTTTATATTAAAAAATAACGGGTATGTCGTACCGTAGACTACAACCAAAACAAACCTGTGTTCTATCTGTTTATTTAATACGTGAACAGTTTGCGTTAAATTTGCGAATACAAGAAGAAAAGCCTTCTGCGCGGCGTCTCTTAGTGTTAATAATTTGGAACTTGTTTGCATTCCACTGCTAGATTTTAAATGCCAATGAGAAAATTGGCCTTCATATCAATGGCGTCTTGGCAAAAGATGGAATACGCAATAAGTACATTACACAATACTTGACCCCCCATGGAGGATGCAAGAAGGCCCGTGCGCGTGCGCAGAGGGTCGAGTCTTCGGTCCAAAGTTACGACACTACGTCCTTTTTATCTCTTGAGTTATGAATATGCGCTACTCATTCCAGTTATAACTAGTGAATGAATGTCACAACTATTTAACAACCCAAATAAAAGCGAGAGACATAACAGTTTCCGCGAAGGAGAAAACCAGGCACAATTAAGGCTGATTTACGAAAATGAACATTACCTTGATAAGACGATACCTGCTGTACATCGGATTTCCCATTACAGCCCTTATAGGAAAGGAGTTTAAATGGTTAGAACTCTTGCCTCATATTCCGGACGTGCCATGTTTGAATAAGCCCATACATTGCCATTCGGAATAATTCCGACCAACATTTTATTGGTTTTTAAATTTTCCCTATGTGGTATTTGCTGGTTGCCGACTAGGGCAGTTCAGTTTTAGCGCTCATTATAAAGCCAATTAAACGTGTTTGTGTGTTGTCATTTAACCGCCCAAACAAAACTGACTAAACCACACTTTGCAAATACCTTGCAGTATTTCTAACTCTGCGGGTCCTCCCTCCAAGTGCACTGATCGTGCATTACAATGCTCACCTGCACTTGACAACAGCGCCTGTGTTGGGGGATCCCTCGACTGTTGTGAGTGCCATGCTGGCAACACCATTGCCCAGGTCCAGACTCGAATTGCTGCCCTCACTGTCGCTCTGGATGGGCACAAAACAACCACAATTTAACATAAAGTTGTGAGGCGGATATTCACCATTCTGACCCATTTTGTCAATCTTTTCCATTCGAGACATCGCTTTTAAAAATATTGACCATTGTGAACTCGATTTATTTAGTGCGAGAATACTGTTAAGTGTACAGGAGTAATAACCGACAACCAATAGGATGTGGTCATTGAACTGGATTGGGTGTAAGGTTAGCAACCCTCCACGGTAA